TATATATATATATATGCAATATCAGAAGTACACAAGTGGGGTATACATTAATAACAAAGTACACACTAAAGAACAGAAAATTAAAATCTGGCATGTCATAGATATAATACCTGCTTATACTTCCTCAGCATATCCGTTCACACGTGTGTCAGATAAGAATAACGATAAACTATTGGCAAATGTTGCTATCGATACTTTGAATATCGTTCCTGACCGTTCGTCAGCAGCTTATCGAGAGCTGTGAGTTCTACGCAAATATATTCAGCTCACGCTAAAGCACAAGTATGTAAAACTAAGGATTGGCATATACATGTTAATGTTCACACTTGGCGAGCACAATCTATAGCACGTATACCATATGTACAACAAATGATGAGGTTTTGGTAGAGTTATGAGTTTGCCAAGATACCTAACCAACACATAGTGAGGTGTAAATACAAATATAGTTGATCAAGCGCTAAAAAACTGGCGAGAACAACTTAGAGTGCCATTTGTATGCTACCTGTACACTCACCACAAGCACATGCTTTCAATATGATATCTATGGTGTGTACTGCCCGCACGAACTACCCATGAATGATAAATGGGCATTGCCTGATGAAGAAACATATTGAGCGATATCGCAAGCCAAAAGCGAATCGTCAGTCAATGTAGTCCATCACAATGTATGTACAGTGCTAAACTAGGCAGTACAAGCAGGCCAGACGCCGATTGTCTTTTTAGTGGACTTCAAATGCTATGGTTTAAGTGAGGTACTGGTACGCCTCTTCAATCATGATATATACTATATATACATCTTCGAATACGCATCTATTGGCACAAGAGTTTCAAGAACTATCGATTCAAAGTGAGTACCACATCGAAAAATTGCAAGTGTTGCTTTATTTGGTCGGATATCGGATTGTGAAGCCGTGCACCTGACATGCGATGTGAAAGTTCTCCTGAAAGAAGACTCGACTTTAGCTACAGTATAAGACGCAGCAGGCGTTGTATAGGCGTCACAGGGTTGAACTTTGTATGCTGGTATAATATTATGATAGAAAAGTACACATAGTATTTGTCCCACTGTGAAAGAGGCCTGTACACAAGCCTCTGTATAAACACATTTGGATATAGAAAAGGTACAAATTGATCCGAACAGTGACCAACCTGTATACATCTTCGTCTAGAATGACCAAATTTTCCCTGCAAATAGAAAATTATGTAAGAAAAAAAGTGGTTACGATTTCGAATCAAGTAGCTCGTTCAGAAATCAGTTTGAGAGAGTCGAACATTAGCTTCGTATAGCGGTATACTTTATTTTTGTCCGTCGAAGACATGTCCAAAATGTCGATGGGCAGCCCATCAGAACGCGTATTTTGTAGTGTAATGCAAGCACACATACAGAATGAATACGCAGTGCAATAGCCAACAAATGAAACTACAAACCCGAATGATTTTCTTTTCTTCTTGTCGTGGAAGCTTATACACATATGTGATGTCGAATTTCGGTAGTTGTCTAAGTTGGAGAGGGTCTATGTTATACTTAAAACAGTGTTGTCACCATTAAGGCCAAATTTGGGATCGTCAGATAGTTAAGTGAGCAGGTTTGGAAGTTAGAACACATCAAACGCCTGCTTTCAGTGATACAGTAGGACTCCGGCATGTAAACAAGCGAGTAGAAAGCGTACTCTTCTTCATAATTATAATAATAAATACAATATCAAAGCTTTATGTGCAAAACCTTGAGGTGAACCTGTTGACAGCTATGACGCGTCTAAAGATATATATAACGACGAACATGAGCATGAGGTTGTGCAAAACATATATATATATTATACTCACACACACACACAC